TGTGTGGGCTGGGGGAAGAGACTGAATAAAAATCGTGCGCCTATGGATGAGGACAGTGGGTGGAGAGTGAGGGCGGAAGGTGGGGTGGGAACTGGAAGGAGGGGAGTTATGGGGGGGGGGAAAGAGGAACAAATGTAATAATCTGAACAATAAAGATTTAATTATTTTTTAAAAATCTCATTGCTGTGGATACTGAACTTTGTCTATGTTCATACTCTACTCTCTGCATATGTTATATTATTTTTTATCTATCATTTTCACTCAAGACTCCTTTCAAGGCAGGAATCATATCTTACTCATCTCATTGTATGCTCCTCTCAAACATAGTAGCATATTTATATATGTTAAGTATCCAATCAGTGCTTACTATTCAATTAAACTCCAGAAAACAAATTTCTTTAAAATTAAAAGAAAAATTAAATCTTAATTTTTTAATTTAAGGAAGTAAATTAAAATATTTTAAAATTATAATAATATTGAAAACTTACTACATAGTATGCACTCAATAAATATTGGTTGGCCATATGGAACTTACTTACCATCTCAATGACCATTGCTCAAAATGATTTTGAGCAAGGGTTTCCATTCTCTACATATTTCAGCAAGATTGTGGGATCCAAAGCTATATCTCAGTAGGGCTCTGCCTGCCTCATTTTTAGCAGCTTCACTGAGATATCAGATAATTTGGAGTTCGGTATTACATCTCATTTATGGAAGAACTCAACTGCTTTAAAAAGGTTTGAAAGTTTCTGTGTTAAAAAAAGAGTATTTTATCTTATCAGATCTTAAATATTATACTTTTTTTATTTGTTCCCCTTTAGGGGCTGATTTAAAGTGTAAGGCGATGCTCGGAAGATTTTTGGAAAGAAGGATGCAGCATTCCAAAAAATACTCTTACGGAGCTGTGTTTGGTCCAAAGAACAATGTGCATGACAACCTAATAAGGAGGTTCTACTTACTAATGATAGGGCTTGTGAGACTGTTCATTGGTTTTTATCAACTGACTTACTTGAATGTAGTTGTCAACAATTCCCCAAGCAAAGTCACAGGGAAATGTGCCTTCTAGGGGTTGATTTTCAGGTAAAGGGGGGAAGCCGTTTTTCTCTATCAGCTGTTGGTAGAACAAAGCTGAAGACTTCGGCAACAACTTCTTATCCTGGCTCAAAAAGTCGACATAGAAGAGTCCACGCCTGATGCTGTAGCCTCTGTGCCACTCAAAGCCGTCCATGAGGGACCACGCTGTGTACCCAATGATGTCCACCCCGTCCAGCCTGATGGCTGCAAAGGGAGGAGAGGACAAGAGATTTGAGGTTTTTACTAAGTAATGAATAAGTTATGTAGTGTGCTCATTGTTTGGTAGAGCAATGACCTACAAAAGAATCTAATCAAACCTATATAACTCTACAAATAAATGTCTTCACAAATAGATTTATCTCCAATAAATTTTTATTTGGATTTATTTTATTTCCAGTGGGTGCTCTTTGGATGTTCCCCTTTCTATCCTAGGCACCTAACATTGTGCCTGATGCAATAAAACGAAGACAGTTTTTAAAAGCAGGAACTACTTACTATTTTCTCCAGAAAATGTTGATACTCTTATTTCTTTAAAAAGTGTTTCATTCAGGCCCTAGCCAGTTTGGTTCAGTGGATAGAGTGTCAGCCTGCAGACTGATGGGTCCCAGGTTTGATTCCAATCTAGGGCACATGCCCAGGATGCAGGCTTGATCCCTAACAGGGGGTGCAGAGGCAGCTGATCAATGATTCTCTCTCATCATTGATGTTTCTATCTCTCTCTCCCTCTCCCTTCCTCTCTGAAATCAATTAAAAAAATTTTTAAGTGTTTCACTCAGTACAAGCAATAAGAACCCAAAAACATTTAAAGGGAGCTAGATACTCTGGGATTTACTTAATCCTTAATCTACACTAATAAAAGAGAAAAATGGTAATTGGCATATGACGCTACCCTTTTCATTGGCTAATCAGGGCTATATGCAAATTAACTGCCAACTAAGATTGGCAGTTAACTGCCAACAAGATGGCGGTTAATTTGCATATGTAAGCACAATGCAGGGAGGCGAAAGGGAAAGCAGGAAGAAGCCCCCTGCCACTGACAGTGATCAGAAACCCAGGGGGGAGCTAAGAGCTGGGGGGCAGGGCAAAGGCGGCCCTGGGGATGCCTTTGCCCTGCCCCCCAGCCATGATGGGAGAATCAGGTGCGTTTTCCGCCCTGGCCAGTGATAGTAGGAATTAGGGGTGAGCCAGCGATGGGAGCTGGGCACGGTCGAAGCTGGCAGTCCCAGGAGCTAGGGGTCCCTTGCCTGGGCCTAAAGCGAAGCCCACAATCGTGGGGCCGCTGCAGCTGCGGGTCCCCGCTGCCCTGGCCGGATGCGTCAGCCAGAGACGTCCTGCATGGACAGGGGCGGAGCCTGCAACCACAGGGAGCTGGGGGTCCCCTGCCCAGGCCTGACACCTCTGCCGGAGGCCTTAGGCCTGGTCAAGGGTCCGATCCAGTGATTGGTGATCAGAGGGTGATGAGGGTCACGCGTCTGGCCGAGGCATCAGGCCTGGGTGGGAGGTGGAGCCGGGGATAGGGGGGATATGATGGTCCCCTTGCCCAGGCCTGAAGCCTGGGTCAGAGGCATCAGGCTTGGGCGGGGGTCAGAGTCAGTGATCGGGGGGAGAGGGGGGTCCCATGTCGAAGCCGGACCCCTCTGGCGGAGGCGTCAGGCCTGGGCAAGGGGCCGATCCTGCGATTGGAGGGTGATGGGGGTCAACGCCTGAGGGCTCCCAGTATGTGAGAGGGGGCAGGCTGGGCTGAGGGACATCCCCCCCACACACACCCAGTGCACGAATTTCGTGCACCGGGCCCCTAGTGTAATATAAAAATCTATAGTAGTAACTCTGAAAGTCAAGTAATTTTACACATTATAACCCAGTTTTTGATTTTCAAAATGGTTTAAAAATTATATAAGTTTCTTAAGGCCCCAAATGAGAAAGGTGTTACATAAATGTATTCTTATTATTGCCAAAATGAATTTCTATATTACGATTAAAAACTATAAATTCACATAGTTTATTTCAGATCATCTTAAAGATTGTTTTACCAGTGGATTTTGGTAGGAATTAGAATTTTATCCCAAGTCCTACCTTTTAAAGTTTCCATTATAAATGTTTTGAGGTAATACATATATTTGGCATCATCTCTCTTGGTGGTCCCTGAGACAAACCAGCTGTTTTCCACAATAAATATTTGAGGATGGTTATATTCAAGGTCAATCCAGGAAAGCAATTGCCTTAGGCTGGGAGATTCTAATTGGCGGAACTTCATATGAGGGTCCAATAGTTGAAAACTCAAGGTTGGTCCAAAGGAAAGAGCAAAAAAGTCAGCTGTGCCTTTGATGAACTTTTTCTCAGGTTCAGTAAAAGCAGGCAGAAGAGATGAAAGATTATTCTTCATGCTTTCAGGATAGTCACCATCAATAAATATGGGTTTGGCAAACCAGCCTAGAACAAAGTCAAGAGATTTTTGACATTCTTTGATATTGTGGTCTGTCATTCTTCTCGGATTGATCCAGTGGGAACTTAGGGCAATGGACACCTGGCCCCCCTGAATTGGACGGAAAGAAGTATTGTAGAGATGCCAGATTTTGGCATGAGCCTAAAAAAGAAAAAGAAAAAAAATGATAAACTTTTTTATGATTGTGAGGAGACATATAATACATATTTGAATTCCCAATCCTAGTTGTATCTGTTTCTTATCAAACTTAACCTAATGACTAACTCCACAATGTAAAAGTCACCAGGAATTAGTAAATACTTCAGAGGCAGGTCAGCCACCAGTGAGCTGCTACCCTGACTGGAATTATTTCCATTGTTTTTCAGCAGCCAGTGGAAAAATGTGTATATCTGGTATTGAATGTGTAGTTACTATTAATACTTTGAAAAATTAATGAAATAAAAATGTTATAATATCTTGCTGTTTAATTAACTTTATATTATGTACTTTTTAATTAATAGGCTTGGTGAAAAGAACCAATCCCAAAAATGTGATCAAATCAGAAATCTCTAAACAGGATTATATTTTTTTATCCTAAGAGACTGGGAGTTTTCAGGTTGACTCAATTGTTGGAGTCAATTTTATATTATGTACCCATCTCTCAGAGCTAAACTTCTAACACATGTTCTCACAATCTTTGTTTTTCACTAAGAAGAATCAGTGCATAAATTAAAGGATCAACTCCAATATCTAACCTTAGCTCACCCACCAGAACTCCAGAACAGTGCTGACTTCCCACAAGACCCAGCATTCAAGGTACAAGCAAAGCAAAAAAGAAAACCCACAAAAACAAAAAGACACACCAAAATACAGCTTTAGGAGATCTGATGTCTGTAGTTAGTCAGCACTCAGCCTGGAGTTTCCTGCAGCAAAGAAATGGGCTTTGCTTCCATAATACCTACTTTATATTCCCATAAAATCTTATTGACTTCTGATTTCTTATTTTAATTTGTTTCCTTTTTATTGATAAAGAATAGTGAGAATGATATGAGGTTTCCTGCCTTACTTGAATTATGTTTCTCTTTACTTTTGAATTCCTCAATTTAGTCTATTTTGCTAAAAATACAAGTGCTGTTTGTTTTTAATATATTTTATTGATTTTTTACAGAGAGGAAGAGAGAGGGATAGAGAGGTAGAAACATCAATGAGAGAGAAACATTGATCAGCTGCCTCCTGCACACCTCCTACTGGGGATGTGCCCGCAACCAAGGTACATGCCCTTGACCGGAATCGAACCTGGGACCTTTCAGTCCGCAGGCCGATGTTCCTGAGCCAAACCTGTTAGGGCAATACAAGTGCTGTTTAGCAGCCTTTTACTCTCTTAGTATATCATCTTTAAAAACTTATTCTAACTCTGTTTGACCCAAATTCTGCAAAATGGTCATGCCGGTTTTCATTCTACTCTCTAGGTCTAGGTTCTTTCACTCAGTATGCCTAATATCCTCTTTATTTTTTTTGGAATAATCTTCTCCTGATTATTTCAGTGTGGGTGTCCAAGAATGGCATAATTACTATTCTTATGAGTTCAGCCAAACATTTCAGTGGACTAAAATAGTTTATGTTGAACTTTCATTTTTAGTGTCTTAGTAAATATCTATGTTTCATTTCATTGAATGTATTTTGTGTGTGTGTGACCCAAAGCAGCTATCTATATGTTAAGAAGAAAATGGAGAATAAAATGTTGATCCAAATAATAGTGACATTTGTCCATGTGATTCAAAACCTGGAGATTAATTGTACTTTACTGCTGGCTTTCTGATGTCTCCTACCCTTCTCTGTCTTCCTCTCTTTTGACACCCAACTCTTCTTTTCCACTTGACAAGAAATCTCAGCCTGACATTTAACAGTTAAACAAAAAAGAAAGAGAGCCGTACACACTAGTACTCAGGGCTTCAGATCAGGGGACTTTATTAGTTTGGCCCAATTGGAGGCCCACGACAATTATGCCTTAAATTTTACATACTTCTACAAAATAAATGCTGTAATGGGTAGGGTGGGCATCAGGCAAGAGTGAGAGCAACCCAATAACTTCCTAATCTGAGGGAGTTTTTCAGGCAGCTGAAGCAACAGTCATATAATAGAATCGTTTACAATCATGGACTACTACTCTAACCATAACTACTTTGACATGGCTCAGAGGTGGTTGGGCAAGAAAACAAAAGACCTGAGCTATATAGCAATAAACATGTGGTATTTGATGTCAGATAAAATTCCTGCTCCATCATGTTTAGCTATCTGTCTTTTACCACATTACTTAACCTGAGCAGGTGAGACTAACTTCCCTGTGTCTTTCATGGGGTTATTATGAGAATTAAATAGGATAATTTAAATAAAACACCTAATGCAAAGTTTGCATATGGTAGGGTCTCCATGAACATTTATTCTTTCTGCCCCTAAAGGATGCGCAAATCTAAAAGGAAGATGTTGAAGCTAAGGAAACACCCTCTGTTAAGGAATCATGTGATGCAGTGACATGACCTGTGGTTTGGATTAGAAGAAACAGGTTTGGATCCCAAGTTCTCTATCCATGACCAGTGTGAGCTTTAGTTATTTCTCTGTAAAAATGGAAATAATGTCTATTCTCCTGTAGGAACATTGTGAGGATTAAAGGACATGATGCAAGTGAAAGCTTATATCAAGGTATTTATTATTTAGAAAGTATAAATTTGCAACATTGGAAGGTATGATGCTTAATTTATGTCAACTTGACTGGGATTAGGGAACCCCATACAGCTGGTAAAACATTTGTTGAGAGTTTAACTAAGCTACTCATGGTATTGCTGCCTCAGAACCCAGTTTTTTTTAATCATTCAGTCTCAGGGACCTTAAACTGACACTGGACTCTTATAAAAACACATGCCCTAGAAGGCGGCCTGCAGAGTCATAAGAAATTGTGAGTTCCTGATATGATTTTCCCAACAGCCTTTGTGATTGACAGTCTCTCCTTCCTCCCACTGCCTGTATGCCTTATGCACCTCTTATATAAGACTCTCATGGGGCTTACCAAAACCATCTTTTGCCAACCCCAAAGCACTCCACTCACAAACCCTAATAAAGGCATGTGTCCCAAATTTGTTCTCTCTCTCTCTCTCTCTCTCTCTCTCTCTCTCTCTCTCTAATGCTCTGCCTTGACATCCCTGTATGGCCAAGGCATGCCTTGTATGGCCTCCAGAATCTGTGAGTAAAAAACTTCTCTATATCAGTTTATCTTGTGCTGTTTCTCATGTTCTCTCATGTTAAACCCGGGCTTGCACCCTATGCTCCATTTAGCAAATGTTAATTTAACAAAACCATGGCAACATCATTTCTGGGTATGTCTGAGAGGGTATTTCTGGAAGAGATTAGCTTTGAATTAGTAGACTGCGAAGAAGATCACCCTCACCTTTGTGGCTGGGCATCATCCAATCAAGGCCTGAAAAGGCAAAGGAAGAATGAACTTGCTCTCTGATTAAACTAAGACATCCATCTTCTGCTATCTTTGGACATTGGCTCCTTTGTTCTTAGGCCTCCCGAAATGGACTGAAACTATACCACCAGCTTACCTGAACCTCCAGTTTCCAGACAGCAGATCATAGGACTTCTCAATCTCTATACATGTGATCCAATCCCTCATAATAAATCTATTTCTACATATCTATTTTAATCCTATTGGTCTGTTTCTCTGGAGAACCCTAACTAATATAGAAAGCATCTTTGGTACCATTTAGCTTAACCACTTGCCCCGTTCCAAATCCCCCAATGTAGCTGTTATTTGATTGTTCTCTACAGCAACCCAAATTGCAGGTCACTCCATGTATGGCATCTTATCCAGGAAGTCCCCTCACCCCTTCCTATCCCACTTGCCATGCTGAGCTGCCTGGCCTTCCTCTGGATGCCCTGCAAGTCTTAGGCAAACTTTTCTTACATCATTTATTGCAAAAATGATTTGCCTCCTAAGCCTGAGCTGAGCTCCCTAAGGAGTTCCCTCATTTTTTCCCTGGTACATGGAGGCCCCAGTGTCTGTTAAACTTAACCAAACTCTTCTCTTTAACTCCTCATGAATTCAATTCATTTTCAAACGGTAGATTTGAATAATCAAATACTATGAGGTGTAGGAAGGTCACCATTTAGGATACTAGCAAGTAATGATGATTAATTGAGGAGAGTTATGTATGGTTTTGCATAGCCTTCTAATTATTCTTGGTATGGTTATCTAATAATATTTTTATCTTAAGATTGAAATTTAATAAAGCTATTGATATGGACTCAGGGAAATAATTAAGAGTATGAGCAAGAATGTTCATCTAAATGCTATTTCTAATAGCAAAATATTGAAACCAATTGAAATGTCCAATCTACACTAATAAGAGAGAAACATGGTAATTGGCGTATGACCACTACCCTTTTCATTGGCTAATCAGCAAGATATGCAAATTAGTCGACAGCCAAGATGGCGGCTAATTTGAATATGTCAGCCCCAAGCCTCAGATTGAGGCTTTAGGCTGGGGCCTTGGCGGAGTCATCCAGCGATCATTGATGGCGGCAGCGGCAGGAAACCAGGTGGAGTCAGCCAGATATGCTTGATGGCGGCAGCAGCAGGGAGCTGGGGGTGCTCCGGCCCAAGCCTAAAGCCTCTGCTAGAGGCTTTAGGCTTGGGCTGGTCCAGCCAACCAGGGATCCTTGATGGCAGTTGCAGCGGGGAACCGGGGCAGAGCCAGCCAGCGAACCGTGGTGGGGAGCTGGGGGTGCCCCAGTCCAGGCCTAAACCCTCAGCCTGAGGCCTTAGGCCTGGGTCAGGGAGATGCCAGCCAGAGGTCGTTGATGGTGGGGAGCATGGGGAGGGTCCGGCCCAGGCCTAACACCTCAGCCAGAGGCTTTAGGCTTGGACTGGGGCGGAGCCAGCCAGCAATCATGAGCCAGCGATCGTTGATGGCCGAGGCAGCTGCAGGGAGCTGGGGGTGCCTCAGCCCAGGCCTAAACCCTCGTCCTGAGGCGTTAGGCCTGGGCCAGGGAGGAGTCAGCCAGCGATCTTGATGGCGGGGAGCATGGGGGGGGGTGGTCCGGCCCAGGCCTTATACCTCAGCCAGAGGCTTTAGGCTTGGGCCAGGGAGGAGCCAGCCAGA